TCACGCCACGTCCACACGAAACGAAAGCCAATTCCCTTAATAATGTTGTGTAGTAGTCCATGACTGGTTTGTGAGTTTTTAAAGTTTAATATGTTGAAAATAACTACATATTAATAATAAAAACAATTATATTATTAATATTTTTTGAAAAACTATAATTTATTATTTTATTGTTATAAAATAACCAAAAAATGGGGTGAGGAATTTAGGTTGGGAATAAAAACAAAATCTATATATAATAGTATCAAAATAATACCAAAATAGTAAAAAAAGGAATTGAAAACTGAAAAAGGGAGATGAAGTTGCTTTTCCTCGTCTTTTTGTTGATTCAAGTTTTCTCCGAAAACGTCGAAGAGACTTCGCGTGATGAGATTCAAGAGGAAAACAACTCTGTGAATGAAGGTGGGTACGAAGAAGTTGCCACCGACGAACAAGAAGAGGGAGAAGAACACGACATCAGAAAGCCCGTGAAACGACCAAGACGACCACAACCAGTTAAAGAACGAATAGAACAAAGTCGACGGAGTTATATAGTCGAATATATAGTTGGAAGTGTTATTGCTGGGTACCTCACTTATTTCTTCTTTGGGAAAGCTATGAATTCCAATGTTGTCACTACGTATGCACAACAAGTCCACACACCAGTTTTTAGACACTTCAAACAAGCCAATAGTAATGTGAACTCGGGAGCCACTGTCGGTATCATGAGTCTCACATGTAATGAGTTTGTCATCGAACTCTCAGAGCACCCGTTCATTAAAGGAGCGTCGATTAATTTCAACTTGATTAAGAGGCAAGACATGTTCTCGCATTTACTGGCTTTAATAAGCGGAGGGTTGGATGAAATGTCCATTGACGTCGTTTTTGATTCTCAAGATGTCCCTCCTTGCATCTTTGGTGTATGCAAAAATAGATATGAAAAGAAGATGAGAAAGCAATTTGCAGAGATATCTAAATTCTGTAAAGTCAAAAATGGCAACGATTTCAAACTTGGAGAGAAATTCAAAGTTGTTTCTGATGCATTCAACACCACTGGAATTCTATCGGACGAGTTTGCGGAGTTCATTAAGAAGAATGAGGACATTTTCAATTACTTCATCTTGTCAGACCAATCGTCTATAATTTCGGAACAAAAGGCTCTTCTAAGGTTTTCAATGAAACTCGCTGATTTGAAGAGTATTCAAGACGCAACTGAATTTGTTTTCACACTTGCGGAGAACGTTAAGAACATCGCCATTGATGGAAGAGTACTCGAGAAATGTTTGAAGGTGAGAGCAGACATTGCAGAGGAAGAAGCCAAAGAAAAGGCGAAGAAAATACGTGCTGAGTCCTTGAACAAAATCAACGAAGAGAAAGTGGAGAAGTTTGAGGCGATGAGTGTTGAAGAGCGGAGAAAATACGAAGACAGACAGAGAACTCGATCTGTCAAGAAGAAACAAGTCAGAGTCACCATGGGGTAATTGACTATTATAACACTTTTCAACCAAATTAGAATGCATCACTGAGTAAATTCTTTGAGTGTGTTAAAAGCGTCTTGAATTGCTGGATTAAGGAGTTGGAAAGGGTCGAGGGTTTGTATGATAGTTGGTAAAATGTCTTTTCTGAGTGTTGCGGAGATCTTTGTAATATAAAGTACAAAGACTTGTGAGGTAGACACACACGAATCGACATCTCCATCGAATGGGAAAAGATTGATAAGATCATTGACAATAAGTGTACAGTCCTCTGGTATTAGAGAAATTAAAGACAGCGTGGCACTTAAGGATTCCAAAGAATGTGGGATTAAGTTGACTGCAATGTACTTTAAAGTAGTCGACCCACTCTTTTCTTTGTGTTCTAAATAAGTAGAAACTGCTTTGTTTGATAACAAGACACTTAATACTTCATGAGGGTCGGTCATGTTCTTGTCGCACCATTCTTTGCCAAAATCTAATTTCCAGAATTTGAGAGCAAGCAGACTCTCTGAAACGGAAATGAGTGTTTCATCGTCTAAAAAGGACAGTGCTCTTGTTAATACAACTGTTGCCGTTGTGACATGTTCTTCAGGTAATAAGATGCTATTCGCACAAAATGTGATAATTTGGGTGTATATCTTTGATGGGGTTTTGAGGCTTTTGTCCGACAACCCCGCAAATATTTGAAGGATATTCAGTTTGGTTTTCTGTTGCAAAGTGTCATCACAAAAGATTATACACACACTTGAC